CCCGTTTTTGAGAAAAGCTATATCAAAGTTATGTAAAATTGCGTCCTTGTTACAATTTCGACCAGACAGTTAGCCAAAACACGGCCCGCTAAGGTAAGCGTTTGAAAATAGAATGAAACAACTTTATAGATGAGGTCTTTAGATGCCATTCCTTGCACTCCAAGTCGAAAAAAATAGATGCAAGTGATATTTGTTGTTGTTTTGGCCGTCGAAAGTCGACAATAAATTGCTTAAAGATTTGGTGCTTCGGGGGCCAAAATTAAGGGGGGTGGTGATCTCGGAAAATATTTATCCCTTGAAGCTCATATTTTGCCATTCTTATTTCTATCGACTGCCTATCAAATGGTATAAGTTTCATGTAAATCGGCTGACCCCCATCCATTGAAATGGTTTCAAATAAAAGTCTTCTGCATATTCATCAGAGATCAAAAGAAATCTTTAACACATTAAATTCAGAGTTATTTTCAGGAGTAAGTTTTATTGCTGTAGGTGATCTCTATCAATTACCTCCAATACGTCCAAGACCTGTTTTTGAAAACTATACCAATGAAATATATAACTTATGCCACCCATGTAACTCCTTTAAAATGGTTGAACTCACAGAGATTATGAGGCAAAAAGATGATCAACCATTCACAGAACTTTTAAATAGATTAAGAACAGGAACACAAACAGAATCTGATATTCAGTGTATTCAGTCTAGGGTAATAACTCCTCTGTATCCCAGCTATCCAAATGATGCTCTTCATATCTGGTCAGAAAATAAACCTGTTGATCAATATAATAATACCATATTAAACCAAATACAAGCACAAGAGTACATTCTTACAGCATTAGATCAATACCCTGAACATGTCAGTAAACAAGACATTGATAGAGTCCTAGCAAGGAGCAGAACTGAAACAGCTGGATTGGATTATACTATCTCAATAAAAGACGGTTGTAGAGTTATGTTAACAACTAACATTGACATTGCTGACAGACTAATCAAAGGTCAAGGGGAACTGTCATTAAAGTTACACTAAATGGTCAGACTCAAAAACCAAATGTTATATACATAAAATTTGATGACAGTGATGTTGGCCATAATGCTATTGCAAGATATACAAATCAGTTTGCTCAAGAAAACCATGCTGTCCCAATTGAACCATTTTCAGCAAGAATCAAAGTCAGACCTGGTAAACCTTCCTTCCAGAATTACAGCGAACACACTTCCCATTAACACTAGCTTATGCATGTACGGTACACAAGGTACAAGGATTGACATTAAAAAATGTGGTTGTTAGTTTTGATCTTAATAAACAAAGATCATTTAATTATGTTCAAATATCAGGGTGCCTAAATACCGAGTCAAGGATCCGAGTTAGGATCCGAGTTAGGACTCGAGACAGGACTCAAGTTAGGACTCGAGCCAGGACTCGAGTTAGGACTCGAGCCAGGACTCGAGGAGCCAGGACTCGAGCCAGGACTCAAGTTAGGACTCGAGCCAAGACTCTAACCGTTTTGCATTTTCTGATAAAAAGAAAGGTAAAAAAATTATTTAATTATTATTTTTTTATTCACAAATGATAATTTTTGAAAGGAATCCATGTGGGATTCCTGTGTTTCTTTTTCGGCATTTTTGTGAGCCTGCGATAGTGACCGCTGGACTCCACGTTGTGTCGATATGGCGTCTCTAGAAGGTGAGTCTGTGTAATCTGAAATCTTGATTTTACCGAGCCATCTTAGAGTTTTTGTATAAAAGGAAGAGTTATTGTAATCAGCTTTTATTTCGAAAGTAAGAATAGCTTTATATTTATTTCTGTAATATTATCCTTTTGCAGAAATTAGCGAAAATGAATCAGGTTTAGGTGAGTCTGTTTTCTGCTTGTGGAATCGGATTGATAATCATTGATACTGGGCAATCCACAAAGGTTTTATATTGTTATCAGCTTTTGTTTTCAAATTATATTTAGAATTTATAATATTTTTGTCTGCAGATAAAACAACCATTGAAGAAAAGCCAGAAATTGAGGTATAGTGTTTTTACTTTTACTTACTAAAAATGGAGTTGTATAAACCGAGGTATAAAGTGGTTAGAAATCTAGTTCCGTTTCTCTTTTAAGGAAGATTAATGTCTAAACTTTCAGATTGGTGCACATTTTTGGCTATAAAAAAGCTATTTGTGTTCGTACGCCATTTTTCAATAACCCATTGCGGTATTAAAGTGAAAAATGCTGTGCAAGAAATAAACTACTATAAGCTTAATCATTTGAAATTCTTTTTTATCGTATATGCTGTTTAGATTGTGTGTTCGCACTAGACCTATTGCAAATATGATGAAATAGGAGGTACCTAGTAATGCATATTAAATCATTTCGAATAATTTCTTCTCAGGTCATAACTATTGAGGATTCTGAAGATGGGGATGACAATGAAAATAAACTGCTCCCATCGGTCTTAAGGTA